TTAAATGTCATTTTTGTTGTTATTTTGAATTAATTTCTTTTCCACATATCATTTTATGAGTTTTTTCTATTTTAATAAATTTTACATAATACTTTAATATAATAATTACAATAAAAATATTAATAAATTAATATCAATTTCATTAATGGACTTACCTTTTTATTTCAAAATTCTCAGATTAAATTATATTAGTTTATTTTGTTTATTTATTTAAATTAGAAAAGATAAAAATAATTAATTTTAATAATTCATTATTTTTCTTATTTTCTTATAAATCCAAAGTTCTTAAATATTTAGACCTTTATATCTATTTATTTTTTAATTAACACGTGTATTTGTATGAACCGAAAACCGAATAGGGATGTTATTCGGGTTGGAACGAAACCAAACCGACCCGAACCCGAATAAACCGAAAACCGAATAAGGGTAATTGTATGAACCGAAAACCGAACCAAATAAGCAATACGTGTTCGATTCGGTTCAGGTATTATTCGGTTCGGTTCGGTTCCGGCCCGAATAACCCAAATAACATGTACAAGAAGATTAAGTAGTTGAATAACTCAAATAACCCAAATAACATTTACAAATAACATTTACAATGTGATTATAAATATTGTATTTTGTATGACTTTTGTAGCTTATGATAAACACGGATAACACGTATTAACTATTCTTGATATATAAAATATAAAATCCAACCACCACAATTGTAAGATATAGTTATTAAGCAACATATTAAACACTAAACATTAAACATCTAAAACACCCAAAAAAATCTATCTATAAGTATATAAGTTAAACATTTAACATTACGTGGGTATTTTGGGTAACGATCGATAGAACACAAGACCGAATAAGCAATCATGCAAGGGGAAAAAATGTGACTTTTCATATTCGGTTCGGTCCTTTTGGACCGAATAAGCCCTTATTCGAGTAACCCGGACCGAATAACCCAAAAACCGAATAAGCCTTATATAGATACCCGAAAACCGAATCGAATTGCTTGTTTGGCTCTAATTCGGTTCGGTTCGGTTCGGGTTTTGGGGCCAAATTCTCATCCCTACATGACATGTAATACATGGGTTTTACATCTAATAAGGTAATAAAAAATAGAGTAAATTACACGAATGGTCTCTATGATTTGGGATAATTTATGTGTTTGGTCACTAACTTATTTTTTGAGCATGAAAGGTCTCTGTAATATATATATTTGCTTCTTTGGTCCCTAGCTTAAACTAAATGACCATTCTATCCTTATCTATTTATTTTTTTTTTTTTTTATCATTTATCATTTATTTATAAATACATTATTATTAATTAATGCATAAAAAATAATATAACTAAAATGCTTAGACTACTAGGTGTGGCAACATGTTATTACATGTTATCGCTCCCAAATTGTCCACCTCATCACCTTAGTCACAATTTGGTGTTATAACACCAAATGTTGAAATGGGCAACACCAAATAACATGGGATAACACATTTTATTTTCTATTTCTTTTTTTTTTTTTTTTTTCGAATGTTTTTAATTTCTATTATTCTAATTTGTTTTATTTTTTTCATTTACTTCATATATTTCTAATTCGTTTAATTTTTTTATTTATGTCATATATCTATAAAAAAACATATAAATTAATAAAACACAATTTCATTAAATAGTAAATTAAAAAATACCATGCAAACCAAAAAAATACATTGAAAAAAAAACACACGATAGTCCTAATAATTAAAAAAAAAACACCGACCAACTATTCTTCGCCAAAGTATTTGCATTCGATCTTTGCCTTCATCATCTGTATCACTTCAGCTCGTCTCGGTGGTAAATTTGCTTCGTTGGTCATAAGAATTGCCAAATCATTCGATATACGATCTTCTTCGGCTTCTTTACGAAGGAAATCCAAATGCTCCCGTTGCAGTTCATATATTTTATTTGCGATTTCCGTTTGGGCGTCAAATTTTTTCATTTCGTCGTGCTCTCGAAGCCGACTTTCATTCTCCTGCGCATGTCGTTGCGTGCGCTTGGCTTTTTCTCGCCCATCGATTGTTGTGGCAGAGAGATTTCCTCGATGTCATCAAACTCGTCCGGGATCTCATCGGTGTCCGCGTTGAGGTCGATGTTCGTGTATCCATCGGAATTGTCAACCAAACCCGAACAACGGGACCTCTTTGATTGTTGTTTCGATGATGTTGGCGTTTTTATCCATTTTGGATCTTTCCTCACTATGTCCCATACTTTTTCATACTCAAATACGTGCCCCATTTGCACGTGATATTCCTCCCTCGCGGATCTAAACACATCGAAATCATTGGCACCACTTTGACGTTGCGAAGAAAGTTTGTTGTATATGAAATTGAATTTGGTGCACTTCCGGCTAATTTTGAGTCCATTTGCCACTACGCATATCATTATTGCGATACGTGTCACCCTTGTTCAAAATTGTATGGAATTTGACGATTACGGCATCTCAAAAGGAAACTTTCTTCATATCGTTCCCCATAGTTGGTTGTTTTGAAGTACCACACTAAGTCGTCGCCAACGCATGCTCTTCCTCCGGTATCCACCATGTTGGAGGTGCTTCCGTTTCGTCCGTCCGGACAACGACCTCTTTCCCTTTCTTTTTTGGTCTCCCTTTTTCCCGATGCTTTCTGACTAGCACCGACTTGCGTCTTGACAACAGGTTCTTGCGTGGGTGTGGGTTGTGTGACTGTTTGGCGCATGGGACTGAATGTGTTAAAAAGGTTTTTTTTGAATGTTTGCATTTTGTTGCATAAATGGTGAGGTAGAGTATTGTAGTGGGGGTGAGGCGGGATTAGAAAAATTGCCGGAATATGGAATTTATGGTGAGTTTTGGGAGTTTAGAAGGTTAATGTATCCCTCATATCCCGCAAAACCTAACGGAGTGGATGTGCTTGTCTTCGGAGGAGGGGTATTCGGGTTTTGATTCATAGTTGTTTAATTTTTGCGTTTGTGTTTTGAGTGATATAGAAATAGAGATAGATATCGAGAAATATGTGTAGTAAAAAGAATGAGGTATATATAATAATGAAAATGTAATTAGTAAATTTTTTTATTAAAATTACCTTTTTTAAATGGTTGATTTTTGAAATTGTACCGTTTTTAAATGGTTTAATTTTGCAACGTCCAATTTTCTACACGTTACGATACGTTACCACCATCGTGCGAGATAACATAACGTGTAATAATGGGAGGGGGGCGGTTTTCCCCCGGTATGGCGCTGCCACATCGGGTTACGCCATACGGGCATTGCCCACACGCGCCCCTCTAAAAGACTCACCCCACCTGAGATCGTCTCTTTCCTCTCACCCCCATAAACACGTCGTTTGATCTTTTCTCAGTTATCACGATGCTCTAGTTTGGAAAAGTTTTCTTAACACTTTCCGGTTCTTTTTTAGGTGAATACCCAAAACCGTAAAATAAGATAAATCAAGCTTAACAAACCTCCATCGCCTGTTATATGAATCGACCCTGACATCAATCTCTAGCAAACAATTTGCAGAGAGAAAGAGATAAACATTAAGGTTGTCTTCAGTTTTTTACTACATCCGTTTGTAAGCAAGAGAGAAACAAAGGAGCTACGAAATCATTGAACCCTTATGTTTGAACTCGCTAAAATCAAACACATACTCTACATCCCTAATGACGGCTAACCACTGAATCAAAAAACCCTAATGTTCGAACCTATTGAAATCAAAGAACCCTAATGTTCTCTTGTCAAGAACTTCAAAAAAATGATTTCAATTCAATAAGCATGTTGCCATTGCTAAGGTCTTCTGGTGTTGTTTTTTTTGATGAATAGGTTGTATAACTTTTTTGTGGAAATAATTCTATTTGGTATTAAATGATCATAAGTGAAGGGATGGTTGACTTCCTTGTGGATATGAGATGATCTCCGACAGTGGTGGGTAAGAAGGAAGTTGCCATGGCCACCATAATACATTCCCTAATTTTCTTCTCACCCCCCTCTAGTGGCAGAGCCAGAATCAAACTAAAGGGGTAGCACCAAAAAAATCCGCGTAATATACAATAAGATAAAAATAAAAACTGTCATTTCATTAGACATAAAAAAAGTGTCAAAGTTACATTTTAAAGTTCACCTCTTCGCTCTTTCATTTTCCGAAAACGAGTAATTATATTTTCAGTTTTTACATTCTCAAGTGCTTCCTTTTCTACACTACAAATCAAAGCACAATTCATAAAATCGACACCTATTTTATTACGCAAATCGGTCTTCAACAACTTCATTGTAGAAAAACATCGTTCAACGGTTGCGGTTGCGACGGGCAAAACCAAAATTAGTTTTAATAATTTATAAACCAAAGGAAAAGATAAGTGTTTCCCTGTTTCCACCAATAAACGAGAGAGGTCCGTAATTCCCGTCAAGTTGAAAATTTTCTCATCATTGAGCAAAGAGTAATAATAGATATCAAGTTGCCCATTTTGTATATCTCGCTTAGCTTCAACAACTTTGATTTATCAAAACTACAAAATGAGTCACAAGGACTCAAAGCTGCCATGTTCTCTATCAGTTACATGGCAACTCCACTAAATCGATCCCCAAATTCTTGAATTCGCATATCTAAAACCGTGTTAAAAATCACAACTTCAAAATGATGTTGATTAGTCATATTGGTCCTACGCTCTCGTAGGGTAACATAATATTCCGACATGTCCACAATTCCAATACTATGTTTTTCACAAAAAACACATACCTTCTTCCAAATTTGTCGATACCCATCTTTTCTAAAAACTAACAATGCTTTTGCTGTCCCTTTTACTAATGAAGCCACTTCCAAAATATCTTGATCTTTTTTTGAAGATGCTTTGACAAGGTATCTGTGAGGCCTAGAATTTCCAACATCAAATGTTGAAGAAATAAGAAATCAAGTGTCTTGAAATTTGACAAAATACCCTTTGCTTGATTACAGTTAGATAAACTAGACCCCTCATCTTTGACATAATTAAGTACCTCAACAACTTCAGCAAACAAATTCATCAAGCTTACAAGTGTTTGATAATGTGAACCCCATCTGGTATCTCCAGCTCAAGCAAGAGAAATCTCTTGATTCAGTCCTCTTCCAGTTTTCAGTTTCACCAATAGCAATTTCAGCTTTAACTCTTACATTTTTAATCTCCCATATCATATCTTTTCTCTTACAAGAACCACAAACCACGGTAACCACCAAAGTTAATTGTTTAAAGAATTCTTCAACATCATCATGTTTCTTTGCTACCGCCACAACCACTAACTGAAGCTGGTGTGGAAAACAATGTATATAATGTGTAGAACTATTTTATTTTAATTTAAATGATTTAAAACCATTGAATGTACCACTCATATTACTTGCTCCATCATAACCTTGCCCCTCACCTATTTGTTTCAAACAATGAATAAAAGATATAAGATATAAAACATAATAATAATAATAATAATAATAATAATAATAATAATAATAATAATAAATATTTTATGAATTCTCACCTGAGCCATACTCAAGTTGTTGCCGGTAAATACATAATTGATGGCGACTTTAAGAGTCAAAGAAAATGTATCTAACACATGAACAACTCCAATAAACCTTTCTTTTACAATCCGAGGTCTATCAACATATCTCAAAACTATAGTTGTTTGTTCTTTTTTAGAAACATCATTGGACTCATCAATTAATATACCAAACACATCTTTATCAATTTCATCACAAATAGATTTGATTATCTCTTTTGAAAAACAATTGGCAATACCTTTTTTAATCGTCGGAGAAGTCAACTTTTCATTTTTTGGAGCATTTTCTAAAGTGACATTAAAAATCCTCTCATTATCTTCTCTAATCAAGGATAAGATTTTAATGAAAAGTCCTCTATTTTTAGAATTTTCCGACTCATCATGACCACGAAATGGTAATGTGTTTTTCAATAAAAATCTACAAGTACAGATTGTAGCTCGTAATCGAATTTTATAATTACTTTTCTCAATTTTCGTTTTCTTATGAAGGGCTTCACTAATAGATTGGATTTTCTCAATAGTAAATCACACTTTTCGTGTACCTTTTGGTGATAACTTTGAATATTACCTATATGTTTCCGGAATGATTTTTTTTACTCCAAGTGTGAAAGCATTCTGTTGTAAATGCATCTCTTCCATCTTGTTCCCATACCATGTCTCCAAACAACTAGCAACACAAACAATATGCTTTGTTCTTTTTAATGCTATACTTTAACCATGGAAATTCAACAAACCATTCAACAATAAAATGTCTTAGCTTCTTACCAACTAACTTTGATTCGAAAGTATGCCCCTTTGGTTGGCAAGGTCTTTTAGTCAAATATGTCCTCCTTATTTCATCTCTTTGATTAGGATTATAAGATGTAGTTTTTGGCCTATCCCCCGGGTCCGAAGGAAGATCATTCAAATCAAAAGTTTTTGGAACTTGTGGTATTTAACTAGGTTCATTAGGTTGTGGTCCTTGTGGAGCCTGTGACCTTTGAGTAGGTTCATTAGGTTGTGGTTCTTGTGGAACTTCTGGTTTTTGGCTAGGTTCATAAGGCTGTGGAACTTGTGAAGTAACATTATGCTTATTTCTTTTAGAAGTTCCTTCACCATTGTCATCTAATTGTATTTTGAAAAATATTGTTAATAGAACCCTACAATCAAAATATTTCAACTATAATCTTGATTTCAAGTTTCAAACGCAAATAATCACTAAGTGTCAAGTATTAACCCTAAATCCCCAATTAAACAAACATAATTGCTATTCATTAATTTTATTTTTTCAAGTTTCAACAATCAATATAATTTATAAAATCTCTAATAAATATGATGGATAATAAAGAACAAAAATATAAGAAATTTGGTATGTTTTAGTTTTTTTCTTTTTAGTTTGATTCACCTCCAAAAAAAAGGTTTGTGAGACAATAACATTTATGTATTAGTTGTCCAGTGTGTTTGATGACTTAATTCCTATATAGCTATGAGCCTATGACCTAAGAACGATTCTTATCATAATTAAAGATAAACAATAAAATACAATAATTGATATAGTAAAGCCAAAATACCAAATTGAGTCAATTAATTAACAAGAAACATCGACAATTGATAAAGTAAATTAGTTTACTTGATTCATTGTTTGCCGATAGACACTACTATTGCAACGATTGGGAATGACGATAATGGTTGGGCAGTAGAGCGAAGGCAGCAAGAGGTTCAATCGAGCTTTATGTTTTGTTTCGCACGTCAAAATTTTCTTTTAAATAAATGGGTACAAGATTTGGATTGGGTTATTTATTATCATTAAATGATTTGACTTATATATTTTAGGTTATTTTAAAAGAATTGACCATTAAATTTGGACTTTAAATATTTTAGATTTATAATATAAGGTAGTCCATATTTTTTTACTGGGGTAGCACCGTAATATATTTTTTTTAACGAAAAATATGTACTTCTAGATAAAATTTGAAGGGTCATACGGGCTACCTCGTGCAACAACGTAGATCCTCCCCTGCCCCCTCTCTATATTTCTCATCCTCCTGAGCAAACCCTCCCCTCATTTAATTTCCATTTGGTTTTTATTATTTGATTTGGTTTTGGTTTCTAGGATTTTTTGGTTCATAGTGTTTTTCGTTTCAAGTTGGATGTTAAGTTCGATGTAAGGTATGATTTTATATAACTTTGGTTTTGGTTGCAGGTGATAAAAAGTGGTTAACAGAGTTAAAAGGTGGTAGTTGTCGGAGTTGAGCGACAGTGTATGGATGTTGACTGGTACTGGTCTCCGGTATCAAGGACCATCAAGGGGCGATGTGATATATTTTATTTATTAATTTAAATTATTTAATAATTAAAACATAATCATAAAAGAAATTTAAAAAATACCATTAATGGTAAAATAGACATTTTAACTCGACCAGTGACCAAAAAACACAAGATCAACTTATCAGGACCGTTTGAATTAGAAAAAAAGTTAATGACCAGCCATCCAATTATTCCATACCATAGGGACCATTCATGTAATTTACCCCTAAAAAGTAATAGACAAAACTGCAAAATTGGTCCTTATGGTTTGTAAAAACTTTGGATGAGGTCGAAAAAGTTTTTAACTTGCATGAAAAGTCGAAAATCAAGGAATTTCTATGATTTTAGTCCAAAAAAGTTGAAAAGACCATTATACCCTTATTTATTTACTTTTACATTATATTAACATTTCAATAATAATAATAATAATAATAATAATAATAATAATAATAATAAGAAGAAGAAGAAATTAAATAAAACTCTATCTCTCTTACGTCTCTCTCTCTCTCTCTCTCTCTCTCTCTCTCTCTCTCTCTCTCTCTTCTTCTTCTTCTTCTTCTTCTTCTTCTTCTTCTTCTTCTTCTTCTTCTTCTTCTTCTTCTTCTTCTTCTTCTTCTTCTTCTTCTTCTTCTTAACTTTCACATGCAACTCAAAAGTATCTCACATATACATACATTAAAAACACACACACACACAATAATATACTTAAAATTTGGTACACGATATTTTTTCTTTCTTTATTTTTCTCTCGTCCTCTCTTTCTCTTTCTCTCTCTCTCTCTCTCTCTCTCACACACACACACACATACACATATACACACATTATTTATGAAAGAAGTCGGATAACAAGGCATTGATTTCATCCCAATTCAAATTTCAAAACCACTTGCCGATCAAGCTTCCTTCGACTGCATCCTTTACAAGGTCTATGGCCGTGAGTGGAAACTCGATCTCCACGATTTCTATAATAATAACCGAGCGCAACAATCATCGAACCTCTCTTAACCTCCTCTACGATAGTGAAATAAACCCAAATCCTGCAATGGGAAATCGCCATCAGATCTTGCAATGGTAAATCTCCATCATATCCCCTATTGTTGTTGTTGTAATCGAAGATTCAAATAAAGATTTTATGGAGTTAAAGTTTCGTTGTTCTTTTACTGATGAGGGAGGGATAAATTAGGATGAGACCAGATGAAAGATTATTGGGGAAACCTCGACAATGAAGCAAGAAACTGGTGCGTATGTGAGTGAAATTTTAAGCTTCTGATTGAAATTTGAAACTAGGTTTCATATAGTATCACAAATACAAAAATAAAACCCAGAAACTAGTGTGTATGTGTGTGAAATATACCTGTGGGGTTTGAAGAGAAAGGGAGGGGTGGGTGGGTCTGTGTTTGTGTGTGTGTGTGTGTGTGTGAGAGAGAGAGAGAGAAAGAGATGTAAGACAGATAGAGTTTTACACATTTTATTATTATTATTATTATTGAAATGTTAATAATATGTAAAAAAAATGTAAAACTAAATAAATAAGGGTATAACCGTCCTTTCAAAGTTTTTTTGGACTAAAATCACGAAAATTTCTTGATTTTGGACCTTCCATGCAAGTTAAAATTTTTTTGGACCTTATCCAAAGTTTTATAAAAATCACAAGGTCCAATTTTACAGTTTATTTAAAATAATATTAATAAAAATGAAAGTATATATATATATATATATATATATATATATATATATATATATATATATATATATATATATATATAAAAGATACTAACAACAAAGTATTAAAATATAATAAGAGCCAAAATCACAACTTAAAAAATACTAATAATTCAACTTAGAAGTACGAAGGAGAAAATTATTAGATCAAACTTTCTTAAGTGGAAAAAATATAAATGTATGAATATTTTATGATAAGAGTCTAAATATTTATTTATGATACTTTAGCTATTATATTTTAAAAGGTATGTTTTGTCGAAAATGATAACTGTTTCATTTTAGCATGTTTTGCATGTAAATGTTTGCAAATTTGATAATAACGTTGTTTCGCATAATTGATGTTTTCACGTAATAAATATATAAAATGTAAGAAAACATAAACAATGGTTTGTATATTAACACAAGTTTTATGTTGTTTTACTTGTATCCCCCCCCCCCCCCCTTAAAACATAGAAAAAGTTACGAAAATATAGGGGTATGAACTCACCTCGAGTGTGATAGCGGTTTTGTTAATGGGATAGAAACCGTGACTTCGAGCTAGAATACAGGAAGGATATCGTAATCCTAATGGTTTTAAACACATAATAATGTGTGAATAAGATGGTCTTAATAACACAAGTGTTTCTTAAACACTAAATAATATGAAGAATACTTACAATAGTATCTTATGGATGGAGCTTCAAATATATGTTTCAGGAAAGTTTGATCTCTGATCTCTGAGAATGGAAGGAATATAGCTTTCTATTTGAGAGAGAAATAAGGATGTTTTCGTTTACTGGTTGTGTGAAATGGGATATGATCTTAAAGTAGTATCTTAAATAGGAAGTAATTTATGAGGAAGTGATGTGAAGTTTACGGGGGTAAACATAATTATCTTATTGGAAAGCTAAACTACTCAATTAGGTGGTACCACTTGGCCACTAAATGGGTATTTCGGCCATAAAGAAGATGATTTTGTTCTAGCATGACCGAAATCCTTTATGTACACTCACAAAATGGTGTTTTCGGTTTACGGTGTGGTCCCTATAAGTGAGTTTTCGGCCATAGTGGTCCTAGAAAGGGGTTTTTGGTCCTAGCTTCAACTAAAGAGGGGATTTCAGTCCACACATGTGTCCTTGGTCCCCACAAAACTGAAATCTAATTGTTTTCAAGAATCCAATAACCGAAAACACAATGGTAGGATGTAATTCATGCCTTTTGACTTAATAGTTTGACTAGTGATGACTAGTGATGGCTTAATAGTTTGACTAGTAATTATATCAACTTATATAAACGTATAAATACATGTATAAACATATATAAACATGTAACCACACATGATCTCTTGGTTAATGGTGATATAATTTAACTAGGTTATAAGGTAGTTTCACTCATACATCATCCCCCTGTTAGAGGGAATTTCGTCCAGAAATTGTAATTTGAGTTGGACTGTCAAGTGTTAGGGAAAAGATATGGGTACTTCTGTTTCATATGATCTTCTCGTTCCAAGGTGAACTCAGGTCTTCGTTTGGCATTCCAGTAGACCTTTACTATTGGTATGCGACTTTTTTTTGTTTTCTTGACTTCTCTATCCAAATATTTCTACAGGTTCTTCCACGAAGTGTAGACTCTCGTTAATCTCGATTTCATCGAGTGGAATAAAAAGAGTTTCATCGGATAGACATTTCTTGAGATTGGATACGTGGAATTTAGAGTGTATATTAATTAGTTCCTGTGGTAGTTGGAGTTTATAAGCTAGTAGACCAATCCTTGCAAGGATCTCAAATGGTCCGATGTACCTTGGATTTAGTTTTCCACGCTTTCCAAAGCGTATCATGCCCTTCCAGGGTGAGAACTTTAACAGTACACAGTCACCAACTTGAAATTCCAAGGGTATTCGTCTCTTGTCTGCGTAGCTCTTTTTTCTGTCTCTAGAGGCTTTTAGTCGTTCTTGACTTTGAATGATCTTCTCAGTTGTTTCCTGATGATTTCCGGGCTAGTGGGAGTGCGGTCAGGAACTTGTCCTTTAGCTAGTTGCGTGTCACCCACTTCAGTCTGCACTTGTGGCCATAGATGGCTTCAAATGGGGCAGCCTTGATGCTAGTGTGAAAACTATTTTTATATGAGAACTCGACAAGTGGCAAATTGGTATCCCATGCTTTACCAAAGTCAATCACATAGGCTCTCAGTATGTCTTCTAGTGTTTGAATAATTCTCTCACTCTGTCTGTCTGTTTGTAGGTGGTAGGTTGTACTCCTATCCAACCTAGTTCCCAGGGATTTCTGTAGTGACTGCCAGAACCGTGAGGTGAATCTACTGTCTCTATTCAAGATAATAGATATTGGTACACCGTGCAGTCGCACAATCTCTCTGATGTATGTTCTGGTCAGTTTCTCCATCTTGTCTGTTTCTTTGATTGGTAGGAAGTGTGTGGACTTGGTTAACCTGTCTACGATCACCCTGATTGTATCAAGACCACCCATTGTCTTGGGTAACTTGGTTATGAAATCCATTGTAATCTGCTCCCACTTTCACTCAGGCATCTCTGGTTGTTGTAGTAAAGCTGAAGGCTTTTGGTATTCTACCTTTACCTTGCGCAAGTCAGAAACTTGCCCACATAGGTAGCAATTTCTGCTTTCATGTTCGGCCACCTATACAATTTCTTGAGGTCCAGATACATCTTTTCCGAACCTGGATGAATAGAGATCGAGTCTTGTTTGCTTCGTTCATGACAACTTCTCTGAATCCACCAAACTTTGGCGTTCAGATCCGATTCATGAGATAACGATCTTTGTCACCCTTGATTTCTAAGTTTTTGTCCATCCCTCTTAGGGCTTCACCTGTTACATTCTCTGGTTTCAAGGCCTCTATCTGAGGTCCAAACTAGGTTACAAGGTAGTTTCACTCATACATCAAACATCTTTTGACTTGGATTGGCTTCGAGTTTACCAATTGTCACACCAACATGGGTCCAAACTACTAAGCCCAAAACCCAAAAATCAAGTACAAGGAAAAAGTCCAAGAAGCCCATTGATGCTTCGAACGCGCGATGTTCCTTGGTGGAGTGTTGGGCGTTTGCCACCAACCTAGATTGCGAACCATAGCCAAAACGTTGGGCGTTCAAAAAGACAATATTAAGCAATTAATGCTTAAAGCTACTCGACCAAATCATGGATCCAAGTCCTAAAGAGCATCTAGAACCATAAAGTCACTGACATGGTGACTTTGTATGCCCCAAAAGGTCCCAACTCCAAAATATAGCACTCAGCTTCCATAAAAGGGCTTAATCTCACACATGGGGCTTATACAACTCTAAAGATGCAAACTTTATGAATCTACAACCTTATATATGCCAAGATGAGCAACTCAAAGCCTCAGAAGTGATCACAAACTACTAGATCCCAACTACGGGACCAAAAGGGATTAACATCCATGAAAACCTAGATCTAATCTTTTTATGAGCAAGATTCGAGATTTATACCTCAAATGAGTTGGAAATGAAGCACAGAATCAAGATCTATGAGCTCCTTATTGAATCACCTCCTTACACCAAGCTTCTCCTCCTTGAATGAGCTTCAAACACACACTAAAACACACACAATGGGTTCACAACACTCTTGGAGGCTCTAGGGTTTTGAGATTAGGGTTTGGGAGCTAAGGAGGAAGGAAATGAGGCCAACACCTAGGACTTAAGGTGTTTAAATAGGTCTTAAACCCTAAAAGTTAGGGTTTGAGCTCCATGCATGAACGCGATGCGTTCCCCAAGAGAACCCCCATATTCAAGCTCTACTTCCAAAAATACAAATTTGGCAGAAATGGTCCCTCTTCCCATTTAAATTTGCAAAACAAGGGAAAAAGGAATAAATAAATATATAAGGGACCAAAAATGGAAAAATACATGGAGCGAGCATTACCTAGGAGGAGTTCTAGGTAGTTTCTAGAGCCTTTCTTGGGCTCTAAGTAAATTTGAGGGGGGGGGGGGGAGGAAAACAGATAAGGCTTTTCCAAGGAAAGTTGTCTTATCCAAGCCCCCTTGATCACCTATATCAACCATGCACTACCTTCATATTTTCGGCCATCCTGTATACCAAGGAAGAACCGAAAATCCTCTTCCCTCTCCTCTCTCTTTAATAGCCTCCAACTTTCATTGTTTGGGTGTGAGCCAACAGAGGCATGAGATTTTTGCTGCTGGCTTTCTGAAGTTCTACAAAGAAGGAATTCAAGTTTATTTACAACAATAAACTAAAAGGTATGTCTTTCTAATAACCCTTCTTAATTTTGAAAATAGATATGTACTTTAGGGTTTCTTGAATTCAAATTGTTGTTTGCAAATCATAGTAAGAACATATATCGTTTAACGTGTATACAAACATAGAGTTTTATTTTTCTGCCTAAAATATGATTTTTGTTATGTATAAAACCCATCAGAAACAAGATTCGTATAAGGAAGATATGAATTTTGATAAAAGATTTAAGGGTGCAAGCCAAGTGCGTGCCATGTCCAATGTGTATGACTGATACCCAGACTCGTCAAAGATTAGGGAGACATGGACCGTCAGAAATGTGACACATGGCAAGCTCTGGATGGATCCACGAAGCAAGTGCATGTCATGCATGAAGTGCGCCGCACACACAACCACTATAGATAGAGGTGATTATTTTATGATTTTCTCATCCCAAACACCCTCCCAAACCTTCTCTATACCTCTCAAGCTGCTTCGGAAGTCCTCTCAATGGTGTAAAGCTTCGGGTGCAATGGCTTGGATGCTTCGGAATACACTACTAGAGTGAGTTCACTGCCCCTATTTCATTATTTTAAATGTTTTACGGTGGGGAATACATGCTTATCAAATGGTTTTATCAAATATCTTTATATCTATCAATATCAAATCATTTTATGAAGCTTGAAGCGTTAGTATAATGTAGCTATAGATACTATGCCTAGTTATAAGCTATGATATTATTCCTAAGAGTTATTATGTTCGATTGTCTAGGAAGAGATAATACCTAGATGTTATAATGACCAAATCCATAGGATAACATAGTATCTATAAGTTATGTTGGTCAATTGTAGGGATTTCAGCGTACCTAATTGTTACTCTGTCCAAATATCATGTTTTCAAATAACCATAATTAGGATATATATATATATATATATATATATATATATATATATATATATATATATATATATATACTTATATATACAAAATAATTATGAGATCAAAAGTTATAATTATCAAATACAAGATAAAAGATTAATTTTGTGATAGTTATAGAAAATATCTAGTAAAGATAAAAGATATAAGATAAATACCTAATTGCGTTAGTGAGTTGTTAATATTCGTCCAAAGGCCTTGATTGAATCCAACATTCCCTAGTACCTATAATTGTTAATCTTGAGAGATTTAGGAGGAGATGTATAAATATATACGGGTTTTTACAACCCAACCTGCGATTGCTAGCTACAATCCCGAGAGGATAACTTTCATATTATTCATTATTCGACGTCCAATGAAGCTTCGTGGAGGGGAAAATTATTAGTCAAACAACATCAATTATGGGGGATCACGGTAATACATTACAAAAACCTTAGAGATCCGA